ATTGTGTTTGATGATGATGATGAGGAGCTTAGAAAATCATTGGAAAGGGCAAGAAAATTAGCTCTGAGAACTCAAGAGGAGGCTGTTAAATCTGTACCAGAGACCATTGCTCTGCTTGCTTCCACTTTGAATGAAAACAATTCTACTGTAGATAGTAATAACCATGACTCTGCATCTGGGGACTTGCAAGAGAATAAGGTTGTCTTCACAGAAATGGAAGAGTTTGTTTGGGGCCTTCAGCTTGATGAAGGTAGTTGAATTCAATATGGTTATGTTTAGTAGCTTTTAATACTTAAGAACTTGATGTGTCATAGTGGTTTGCTGATCAGTTTTATCTTCTATTACTTAAATCCCCGGCAAGATGGTAGGCTTTCCTTGCCTTCCTATTTTTCTTAGAAATTGACCCTGCTCTAAACCTATCATGCATATTTTTACCATCCCCAACCCTACCGTCTAGTCCACTGTGAGCCTAGTTTTTTGTTCAATAGATGTTGGGTGATCTCATCTCTTTTACAGGCCCGTAAAACCAAATCAGCATATGAGTCCTCATAATTACAGTAGTATCTATAGCCGTTTCCTTCTATTATTAATATTATTAGTTGTAGTATTAGTAATAATAGTTACCTATTAGTAGTAGTATTAGTATTCCATTTTAGTTAATATTTGTTATAGTAAAATTCTTACTCCCCCGTCCCATACTTTTATTCCCATTTTCATTTTTAGGAGGCTGCACAATTCTTTCACATTTATTTTTATGGAAAAATTTATGTGGCTGTTTTTGTTTTTTATCCTCAGCCACAACTGTAAAATTTTACTTTGGAGTGTGTCAAGTCAAAATGGAAAGAAAGTTTTGGGATAGAGGAAGTAATAAACTAGAACACTATCTACTTTTTATCAATAACATTGTGAAATATTGTTTTAATTCATAAAAAATAAGATTATTAATTGCAAGCTTAATTGCATAGACTTTGACAAGGTCGAGTCTCTCTATGGTTCCTGATTTTCTGTCAAAGATGATACATTTTCCTGTAAGCTCGGTCAAGGTCCCAAGGATGAGTGCTCTATATCCCAACACAGCTGATAACAATCTCTCTTTCTTATCATGAGTGAAGTTAGGTTGGAAAGGTTTAGTGTGAGAAATATTTTTGTTTCTTATGCTTCCTGCTAGATTGCGGGTTTCTAGATGAAAAGTGTTTAATTAATACAATTTCATGCGAACGTAGAGATGCAGCTTTAGAGTACGCCTGGATCATGGAAATGTTAGGAAAAAAAGATGATTGTAGAGGAAAGCAATTTTCCTATTTTTGGCATAGCCTTGGAAAATTGAAATATGATTAATGTTCTAATTTCTTTTACATATTCAGGTTTCACTTTTTTATATAATAAAGTAAAAAAATGAAAAGGGTTTGAACAAATATTCTTTTAGAACAACTAATTGTTGTGACCCTCTTGATTTTCTACAAAAAAATGTTTCCTTCCTGAGTATCTCTCTATTTTTCTATCCCTACAGTTTTCTGCAATCCAATTGAACCCTAGTCTCTCCATGTTCCATCATGTTTACTCCTGGTTTCCATACAGTACACTGTATCTAATTTTACCCAGTTTTCTGCTTATATTGTTGTACTGTTTGTAGATATACTTGTACTCTGTTATCTAATTTTAACTTTATTGTTGAAGATTCAAATAAAACTGGTGATGAGGATGTTTTCATGGATGAAGATGTTATACCCAATTCTCTGGACAAAGCATCTATAGCTGAGGACGGTGGCTGGTCTGAGGTGAAAGAAGTCACAGAAAAAGAAACAGACTTACAGAAAGAGGATGAAGAGAAGACAGTTCCAGATGACACAATACACGAAGCCGCTGTCGGGAAGGGGTTATCTGGAGCTCTCAAACTCCTAAAAGATCGAGGATCACTCAAGGAAACAATCGAATGGGGTGGTCGAAACATGGACAAGAAGAAAAGTAAGCTTGCCGGTATTATTGATGAGGAGGGGCCTAAAGAGATACACATTGAAAGGACTGATGAGTATGGTCGAATTGTAAGTTCTTTTGCTCAACTAGTTCTTTTTTAATACTTGTGCATATTTCAATACTTGTCCCATAATGTTCCCACTTCTTTTTTGGCTATCCCAAAATGTTTTTCCCATTTTCCTTTAAAATTAAAAGTAAGAATTGTGATTCATATTGTTTATTTCATATCTAAATGAATCTCAACATCATTTCACATTCTTAATTGTTTGGGACATAAGAATTATTAATTAGTTTAACAATTTATCTATTTTATATTCATCTAATAATATTTTTGTGGGTTTGTTACTACCAGTTGACTCCAAAAGAGGCATTTCGACAGTTGTCCCATAAATTTCATGGAAAGGGACCTGGCAAATCAAAACAAGAAAAACGCATGCGACAATATCTAGAGGAGCTAAAGATTAAACAAATGAAAAATTCAGACACACCATCGCAGTCCGTGGAGAGAATGAGGGAAGCTCAAGAAAAGCTAAAGACACCTTATTTGGTCCTAAGTGGAAATGTTAAACCCGGGTATGTTTTCTCCTCTCACCTATAATCTAGTAGTTATGTTATACTTTGTCTCTTTGATATTTGGGACTTAAGAGGTGTGATCAAGCGATTGGGGTAGTTGAGCCCAAAAAAGCATGAAACTCGACTTGGCACGAATTCCGAATTGTTCAAGCTCGGGTTAATTAAGCCCAGCTATTTTCTTATATTTCATTTACTCTAATATACACAAAATAATACGGAGTAATAAACATTAATTTTTTAACCACCCATGTTATAATTTATATTCAAAAAGGTATAATTTGTATATACGTAGTATATGATTTATACGTAGTATAATTTATATTAGTATAGTTAAAAAGCATAACTAGGCCCATTAGCTGAACAGAAGAGCACTTAGTTCGGCTTGGACTTGGTACCCAAGCTCGGTCTACAAAATAGAAATGGAATGCGAGTACTAAGAACTTGATGTCAGATAGTCTACTAGTAGTTTTGCTGTTGTGAAGCAGAAAAAATAAAATCAACGGGGTGAACTGTTGCCCGATAATCAACGGTAAAAATACCGTTGCCCAGAGCCAAAAGGCTAAAACCAATTTTATTCCAAGATGATCAAGAATGAAGCATACAAGAGGTATAAATGACCCTCTAGGTCTAATAAGAATAGGAATCCTAATTAAATTATTCTAGGAAACTAAATAGAATAGGAAACCTCTAGTTCTAATAGAACTCCTAATTAAATCATTCTAGGAAACTAAATAGAAATAGGAAACCTCTAATTCTAATAAGAATAGAAGTCCTAAATAAATCCTACTAGGAAACAAATAAAATTAGGAAATAAAATAAAAGGAATAATTAAAATTAATTAAATTGCCCGCTGCCAGCCCACAAAGGTGGGCTCAAGCCCGTTCCCGACTGGAGTAAACCGACAGGGGCTTCTTCCCCTCTTCTTCCAAGCCCAGATTCTGCTTCATATCATTTGCTCAGCTCATACTCCTGTTCATGCATGACATACAAGCTTATTCAAGCCTAAACGAGCTGGATAAATATGAATTATTAAGTGGTACTCTTAACTTTATCGAGAAATCAGTTGTGTTTGGATAAATGTAACATATTCACTACCAAAATATAAGTTTATTGAAATAATCAATTTTAGTGAGAAGGAGTTAGCTGATGAGCTAACAAAGCTGAACACTATCAATCTCAAATAATATTTTATTGAGCCTCTGCTCTGGATAGTTGAATGACTGGTCTAGTTAATTTTTTTTTTATAATTGTGTATGTTTTCAAGTTTATTAATAAAATATGATTCTGTATCTCTCTTTTTATCCTAAATGAATATATTATGGTTTTTATTTGCTTCCAGGCAAACTAGTGATCCCAGAAGTGGTTTTGCAACTGTTGAGAAGGACTTTCCTGGAAGTTTAACACCCATGCTTGGTGATAAAAAGGTAATTCTGAATTGGCCCTGTTTGTGCTATTCTCTACTAACAAGTTGTTTGTGATTCGTGTAAAACAGTTTACCCGTGGTCATTATTCAGTTTGGGTTTTTCCCGTGTTCATATCTGAGTTATAGTTTTTGTTGTTTAACAATACAGGTTGAACACTTCTTGGGCATAAAGAGGAAACCTGAGCTGGGCGGGGACTCTGCCTTGCAAAAGAAACCCAGAAACTGATTGGCCAGTGTTTGTAATGTACTCTGTGTTAAAGGTTGGTTAGAAGCAACTGGTGCTAAACTCTTCATTCTCAAGTTTAAAGTCGTCCTCAATCTTGTCTCTAAGCTCAATTTTAGATTTTGTATGTGTTGGATGAGTTTCACTTACCTTGCTTTGAATATGTAGGTGTATGCTTTGGTCTTTCATTTTCTATACTTTTGCATTTGCAAAATATACCTTTGAAGTCTTTGCTAACCAATATCTGCTGACCAGCAGCTACTTCATTTTTATTTTTTATGTTCCTGAGTGACTTATTTTATTAATTTGGTTCTACTTATAATAATTCCTTGAAATAATAATAATTAAACGGCCATGCTCATAATTTAAAACATGTGAGGTATGTTCCGACTCTGAGTTTTGTTTGATATATATTAATTTAAATGTTACCTTAATTGAGTTAAAAGCATTTCCATTCTTGCATCATTGTAGGCCAAATTGTAATGTTTTCTGCAATGAATGATGATACTCTCTAGCTCTGGGTTTTAGTTGTTGAAGGTCACCGATTATCAAGGCTCTGTTGTAAAATGTATGGATGCTTAAACCCTAAACCAATAAGATATTCATGCAAAACATATGAGTTGTCCCTACCACTAACCTAATAATAAGTAACAAATTAGTGATTCATAAGCTGTATCCATAATTTGTTCAACCATGCAAACAATCCTCAAACAGATAAACTCATCCACCTTAATCCTAAACTCATCCAACACTAGGTTTATAGATATATATACTTGCCAAGAAAATAAACTGCTCCACTGGAAAGCCCCACCATTATCAGGAATATACAACAAGAAATTAACAAGTATGAAAGCAGCAGCATTGATCTTCTCTGTTGTGTTCCTCCTCCTCCTCCATTCTCTCGTGGCAATAACAGAGAGCCATTGGAGTAGAAAGCCGGTCAGCGCAGTTTGTGCATCCCAGATCACTCTGGTCAACCATGCCTGCTCTTTTCTGATCATCAACCCTAGCCCTCCGCCTGGTTCTGCCGGGGGGCAACACCGCCACCACCGCAGGCCACATCACGGCCACCACCACCATTCCCCAGAGGAAGAGATTTGCTGCAGATGGTTGAAGGAGGTGGATGACCAGTGCGTTTGTGACATGCTAGTCAGTTTGCCTCCTTTTCTTGCTAGGCCTCTGCACCAGTTCACTGTCCAGGTGGGTGATTCTTGCTTCCAGACCTACCGGTGTGGTACTCCCATGATAAGGATGGATTAAGTATACTATATTAAGAAGTCATTGAAATTTGTATACGTGCATGCATATATGTGGTTTGCATGTGTCTGCAACTGATCATAATTGCAAAGAAAATTCCAAGGCCATCTTTGTGGTTTCCAGTTAACTAAATACTTGGATGGTTTGAATGTATGTAACAGAGTTATCATATATAGTAATTAATACACACATTTTAATTTGTCTCACCGGTAGCGCAGTAGAGAAATGAGACGAGTCTTGAATTTTATTTCACGGATTTTCAATGACTGTATTTTGTCTTGGAATTTTTTGTGTCAAATGCAAAAGCCAAAACAGTTAGTTTTGTAGCGGATATATTCCATTACAGAATCAAATGTAAACTTTGTCACAAATTCTTTCCGTGCCAAAATATTTGTATCGATTTTATGATGTCGCAAGAGTGATGCACTTGATCACTTGATGGGTCATAAATTTGGTGCAGAAATTTCGTGACAAAAGTCTCCACAGATGAATATGTGACGACATTTCTAACCACCTAAAGGATTCGGATTTGGTCTTTGACAACTCATAAATATGGACCAAATTAAATTTGTGACAAACTTTCATGTCCAAAGCAGTTTTTGCGTGTAGATATATGCCATTTACAAAACAAGTTGATTGCTTTAAGCTGGTCAACGGTGAGTGATTTAACTATGACTTATAAGTAAGTTATAGTAGAGAAATATCCCAATAAAAGATTTATTTTTAGAAGAAAATTATAAAAATAGGGTCCAAATCTATGTTGTAAAAACCGGACCGGAGGGTGACCCGGACAGATGACTGGGTCACGGGTCAACCTGGACCCGGCGGGTCAACCCGGTCAACGACCGGTAAACCCGGTCAACAACCATACAAATAATTAATCTTAATTATATAAAGGATTAAATTCTTAAATATAAAAATTATATTCCTTCATAATTTAATAATAATAATAATAATAATAATACAATACAAGCAATCTAAAAAACTATTGTATTTAAGTAGATTGATTTAAAAAAATTAAAATACATTGAAATTTAGAAGAATAATAAATATGAACATAATACCAATTACAAAATATATATAAAAAGTCGTAAGAATAAATACATAACTGGGAAGTATAATAACAGCATTTATGTGTATTTATTAGTATTTTTATTATAAATTAATTAATTTATAAGCTAATTATTCAAACTTAATAGAAACATTCAAGACAAATAAGCTATAAAGATAACTAAACCACCAACGTAAACAACAAATGAGTGTAGCTCGTTGGTTTCCAATCCAACGTTTGAAGCATGTGGCGCGGGATCGAATCCCATGGGCAAGGTTATCTCCGGTTTTTCTCATTTTCCGGGTTTCGGACGGTTCGGGTCCGTCCCGAGTTTATACGGGCCACCGGTTAAAACCGGTTTTTGCCATATTTCCGGTCGGAAGCCTAACCGGACCGGACACTTGGCCGGGTGACCGGGTTCCTGGTCGAACCGGCCGGTCCGGGTCTTACAACACAGGTCCAAATGGGAGTGGAGTTCACGGTTCACCTATCCAGCGCTGATAGCTTGTAGTTAACAGCCCCCTTTTGCAACGTTTCCCCTCAATCCGGACTATGAGAAGGATTTCCGGCTATATACTTATTTGGACTTTATAACTTTGGATGTTTTTAATCTGTCCCTGTTCAGATTAGATCAGGCCAGATCAGACCAACAAATTACAGCTTAAGTAAAAACATCCTTTGTTCATGTTTTACTCATATTTTGAACAATTTCCTTAAATTAAATAGATTTGCCTTGTTGTGTCACTTTAAAATCATTTTAAAAGTTGTATTCTTTGTTCAGAAAAGGAAAACTGTCAAATAGGTTCTCGAACTTTCATAAAAAGGTCAAATAAGTCCCTATATAGGAGGCTCTGTCCGGCCGTCGCGATTTGGGGCGGTTTCCGGTGGAATTTTTTTATGAAAGTTTTTAAGCATCTTATTCATCAAGTCTAGTTTACTAATACCAAATTTCAGTTAAAACTTCAATCGGGAACGCATTCAAATTAATTCTTGAAGATAAATGCGCATTTAACTGCACAGTTATTTTCAAGAATTAATTTGAATGCGTTCCCGATTGAAGTTTTAACTTAAATTTGGTATGATTAAATGAGACTTGATGAATAAGATTCTCAAAAAATTTCATCAAAAAATTCCACCGGGAACCACCCCAAATCGCGACGGCCGGACAGAGCCTCCTATATCAGGACTTATTTGACCTTTTTAAGAAAGTCCGAGAACAAATTGACAGTTTTCCCTTCAGAAAATATAAAAGATTACATCTAATGTCGCAAAAAATTCCCATGCAAGATACCAGTATATCAGATATCACTTGACACATTTATTAACTTGTTCACATATGCTGACATGCAATTAACAAACATGATCAACCATGCAATTACCACTATTTAAGCTAGTGCATTCCATATATACAATTCATATAGCTTACCATCATAGGGTGCAGTTTCAATACTAAGCAAGCACATTGAAGCTTGAACTTTGCTTGATTTCTGTCTCCATTTTGGAGTGCATTGGATCCATAGTAAGTTGACACAGCTTAATTATTATCTCCATATACCATGAAATCACAATAATCTTACTTGACTTCAACCTCCCTTATTGCCTCCTGATTTAGTTGCCTGTAGTTGTATTGGACTACATGCAATTACGTGAACAATAAGTTGCATGCCTCCACAAAACCATTGCCACTACAAGACGTATATCACTACAAAAGAAAAGTGTGAATAAGATAACTTAGTGGTACATGTACATACAGTGGCGGATCCAGAAGTTTTCCAAAGCAGAGGCACTCCCACATGGATGAAAATGGGTCGGGTCGAATTGGGTGTATTATTGGTCTTTTTTGTCAAATGCGCTCAAATTAATATTTTAAACTTGAAATAGATTATTCAATGCCGACGTCAAGCAATGAACATATATGGATTATAAGTCTAATTTTGAACTCATTAAGACAATTCTAAACAATAGTATTTGACTTTTTGAAAGAAAGACATAATTTGGCGGATTAGATATGACTCATCTTTGCGCCGTTTCTGATTTTACATTAGAATTTTCGCTATTTTTCATACTATTAAATGATCAAGATTTCATATTTGAATTAGGATCATGTCGTTGTTGTACATTATGTCACAAAATTTGTTGGTACTTGTCTGAAATATAATAATATCATGTTAAAAATGAAGTATAAGTCAAGTTTAGGATTTCATCATTTAATACAATTTTATTTAATAATATGATCCTATATATCTACCTTTTCTGAGTATCATATTATAGAAAAAAAATTAAAGGGTTTGTCGGTTTGAAACTAATTTCTCGCGAATTGACACATTTTTTCATGTATGGACTTTTATTCAAGATAAAAGTCTTCAATCTATTAAGTTTATCCCGCATATTAGAACCTTTGGCATATCTTTGAACTTTAAGAATTTGCTCCATCACAACTTCAGAGTTGTTTATATTTTTTACTACAATTATTATATATCTTTGACAGAGTCCTATATATCTATCTAATAATTTTTTGAAATAATGACAATATGATTGAAATAAATACAGTGAACAAAAATATGACTTAGGTACTACCATAGCAATTTTAGTGAACATGATTCTTTTCATTAGTCGAATATTTATGAAAAATACTCTAATTGTTTGTCCAGATAGCAGGGGCATAATTTTTATTAAGTACTAATACTAAACTTCATGGTCGGAAGCGGGTGCACTTGCCCCCCTAGGTCCCTCCCTAGGTCCTCCACTGTGTACATAGACTATTCAAGCACATGATAGTTAACCAGGAAATGAATCTATTAGATCAGTACAACGCCCAGTTAGCTAATTCGCGTTTTAATTAAATGCATTTTAAACATGTACTTTTTTTGAATAAAAAACACGTTTAAAACAAGAAATAAGGTTGATCCGTTTAAAACAGGGAAAAGGCCTACTCTTCGTACTTTACAAAAACGGAGAAAAACTTCTACCCATACTTAGGAAAAAACAAAAACATGAATTGATCAATTGGATGAATGCATTAAATGAATAAGAGATCAAAAATAGTTTAAGTGCATAAAGTTTAATGCATGCAGGCTTAACTGAAACTCCTAAAAGACTAAAATTTTGAATACTAATAGGCTTCTAACATTTTTCCAACAGACACTTAAAACTAAACCAATAGGCTTCTAACTTTTGTCCAACAGACACTAAAAACTAAAGTTTCTCTAAACCTAACGTTTTTAGGATAAATTAAACTTCTAAACATAAATTTAACAAGTGTATAAGACCACATTTAAAGTGGATTACATTGGAGAACATGCTCACAGAATTTCGTCAAAAAAATCTACCGGGAACCACCTCAAAATGAGGTGGCCGGTCGACGGTTCTATAGAGAAATTCCGGACAAGAAAATTTGTGTGTTTGTGTGTGTATTGGTTCAAATAGGAAAATGGCCTTAGGTGAAAAATGAAAATGATTATGGGAGTTGGATATGTGTATCGTGCATTTGTGCTTTTGTGAAATAGAAATGTGCCCCATCATAAATTAGAAAATGTACAATTAAATTGTGCATTATTTTGATCACAAATTTCCACCTTTGAACTTTGAATTAATGTGCACTTTCGTGAATCATAATGTATATCATTTTGGATCGTTCTCATTTCTCAACGAAATCTCATTGTAACTGGACCCTATGTGTGTGTTCGAGTATATTCTTTATAGTTGAAAATGCCCACAAACATCAAACAAATAAATTGTGACAATCTCAACAGTTACAGTTTTCTATTTTTGATAAATATTTTTATGTTTACTTGAATCCTAATGATTTGTCCTATGATGTCTACTGCGGGCGTCACTCTATTTTAGCATTTCTGATGTGAATTACTACACTACGTAGTAGCGGGAAGCGTATATAGTGCAGCCAGCTATACGGTGAGAATCATACAGCCGGTGACGTTTTTGTAATTTACATGAAATTCGCGTCTTGTACTAAATGAGTATTAAAACATGTCTAGTGAGCATGAGACATATTTCGTTGAGCATTAGAAGCATAACAATGAGCATCGTGATCTCTGCTTCATATCTTCAATTTACTTTCTTTTCCTTAGTTTTTTCTTTATAAAAACTTATTAAATTATATCTATAATCAACTCTTATGAACTTCAGTATGCGAATTTAATGCAATATGATACTTTTGAAATATGCATTGTTATGCCTAATGCCATTTTACAAATGA